CCCAGTCTTCAATGAGAGAACTATTGAGGTTGATTATCACTTCGTAAGAGAGAAAGTGATAAGTGGAGTGATAACCACATCTCATGTGAGCTCAGGAAATCAGTGGGCAGATCTCTTTACAAAGGGATTGTCTCGGGGCAGAGTAGATTATATTTGTAGCAAGCTGGGATTATATGACATATACTCTCCAACTTGAAGGAGAGTGTTAGAATACTCGAATCAGGGGTATTTTGGTCATTTTGGTTTATCTGTTTGAGAGTGAAAGGTCTATTTTATCTAAATTTAAGTTATGTGTCCCATCACTTATGAGGGACAATATGATCTTTCTTGTAACTCTATTATTTGGATCAAATACAAGTGGGTCGGCTAGGGAAAGGTGACTTTTCCTTTCTTCTAGTCTGGCCGAACCCTTCTTCTCTTCTTCTTCTTTCTCTTTCCTTTCTTCTTCTCTACTTCAACCTAGAATCGAATAGGGTTTATTTACAGTGGCAAGGAATAGTGCAGAAGCTGAGAATAGAACTAAGGCTCATACCACATGTGAACTAGTATGGCTAAAGAACTTGCTACAAGAGATGGGGTTCTCGGTTGACAAACCCATGAGACTATATTGTGATAACCAAGTTGCTGTTCACATCTCTTCCAACCCAGTCTTCCATGAGAGAACCAAGCATATTGAGGTCGATTGTCACTTTGTGAGAGAGAAAGTGATAAGTGGAGTGATAACCACATCTCATGTGAGCTCAGGAAATCAGTGGGTAGATCTCTTTACAAAGGGATTGTCTCGGGGCAGAGTAGATTATATTTGTGATAAGCTGGGACTATATGACATATACTCTCCATCTTGAGGAGGAGTGTTAGAGTACACAAAACAGGGGTATTTTGGTCATTTGGGTTTATTTATTTGAGAGTGAAAGGTTTGTTTTATTTAAGTTTAAGTTATGTGTCCCATCACTTATGAGGGACAATATGGTCTTTCTTGTAACTATGTTATTGAAGATAAATACAAGTGAGTCGACTAGAGAGAGGACTGATTTTTCTTCTACTGGCCAAACCCTTCTTCTTCTTCTCCTCTTCTTCTCTAATGTAACCTAGGACTAAATAAGGTTTTCACACCCCTCACTAGTGCTCCCTTTGCAAAGTTAATGGTGAGAATTGCTATCACTTATTAATTTCTTGCCCTTTTTCTTCGTCAATTTGAGAATGGTTCCTTTCTTTGTTTGGGTGTAGGTGGAACCCTCCACCTAGTGTACAAAACCGATTCGCTTCTAACTTCCTAAGCTGGTCAAAAAAGAGGGGAACAATACTGTGGAGATGCACAAGGGTAGTGTGTGTTAGACAATTTGGGAGGGGAGGAATCAAAGGCTCATCCATTAAAAATCAAAAAGTATAGAAGTTGTCATTGAAGCTATCACCATCAAGGTAGTCCATTGGGTAAAGCCTTTGGATATTTTCAGAGATGCTCTTGGCATTGAGGTGATGAGGAAGTGGAGGGACGTGGCTGATTCTGCTCCAGCTAAGGAGGTGGTCAGGCCATTGTGGTTCCTACCCTTTAGTGGGTTCATTAAACTTAATTTTAATGACAGCAGTGAAGGCAATCCTGGTCCTTCTGGCGTTGGACGAGTTTTCAAGAATGAAGAAGGAAATATCATTGCACTATCTCAGGTCCAATTGGTGAAGGGGATTCCTTACGAGCTGAAATTATGGTTGTTATGGAGTGGATCCAAAAGGTTAAAGAGCTGAATATCAGGAAGTTGGTGATAGAAGGTGACGAAGCTTGTAATTAGTTGGCTTCAAAAAAGGGAGGAAGAGGGATGGTGGTGCTACATTAATGAGAAGAGAAAAGCTGTTAAATTGCCGCAATGGGTAGAGGTGGCTTGTAATCGGGTTAAAAGAGATGCAAATACTGTTGCTGATACACTTGCTAAACAAGGAGTGGGAAGGAATGAGTTATTTTTGGTTGTACTGTAATCTTCCTTTTGGGAAGGGCTAAGAGTGTTTATCCCTCCCTCTTCTTTGTACTAAATTTCTTCTTTTAATAAAATTGGTTCTGTTATTGATAAAAAAAAGGTTTCATAGCTGCCAATCTGGAAAATCTCTTGTGGAACATCATTGAGTCTCTACAATTACTTGTGTGGAGCATAGCAGATAGAGACATTCCAAAACCTTTAGAGTTGATTGCAAGGGGCACTAAGTTCTTATTGAGCATCGTGTGGAAGACACAGTGAATCTAGAAGGAAGTTGGAACCGATGCTCCACAAGCATACCTCTAGCCCGACGATATCAAAGTCCCCCCTCCAAAAAAAACTTTGCTAATATAGTTAGGGTGGAAATAGAGGGTCAAGATAGCTTTCGGCTAGGAGGTTCAGGTGCCTTTTGTGGACAGCATTCAAATTTGGAGGCTCATGACAACATGATTTTCTTAGGTGACAAAGCCATCTTCCTGTGAGAAAGAAAAACATAAGGGTGGCAACCTCCGTGGCCGGTGATGTTGTCTATAGACCTGTTAATGAGCCAGGTAGGCTTGGACAAAGTTTTAAGCTCTCAGGCTCAGGCTTTCCCAAATAAGCCCAACCGAGTTTGAGAGTGGCATGATAATATTATATGTATAATAGAAATAATAATATATATGTTAATAATATATAATATATAATATATATTTATTAAAATTAATAGCAAAAGAAGTACTATATATTAAATATATAAAATATCATATAATATATATAGCATATTATTAATAACATATAATTAATATATTACAAAGTACCTGTCAAAATCAGGCTTTGGGCTTTATATAGGGCCAGGCGCGGGCTCAAGATCTAGCCCGATTATCGGGTAGAGCCCAACATGTGAACAGATCTAGTTGTTCATGAGCCTTAGGCATTGGCGGCGAACAGCTTTTCGACGCCAACAGACAGGTTGACAGTTAACCTTCAAATCATCCTATTCTCCCCCTGTTTTTCCACTAAGAGTTTGGCACCCTGTTTAAATTTTGAACAGGCACCCTTTCTTGTTGGCAAATGGGTGAGGGAAGTAGTTTTATGTGGGGTTCCATTCTGGGTCCAAGCCCAACCTAGATTTTGTTCTAGAGTGTGGTCCCCATTTCAGTGTTTTCTTCTTTTGTAGCCAAGCCTTGCCCATTGAATGTTGTTTCTCTTTGCTCTAAGGCATCGTTCTTTGTCGGTATCTCATGGGGGTAAGTTGGTCAACTAGATAATTGACCAACTTACCCGTGTTCGCTTGCTGCTATAATGGAACCCGCGAAAAACAAATTTTTCAAAGAGTATCAGTTACCCGAGTAACTGATACAACTTACCCACCCATAGAAAATGTAATCATATACCGCTGAACTCTTTACCCATCTAAGTTGAAGCACCCACCGAACACTGCCACTGAAATTTACCCGGGCAACATCTGCTCGGGAACAACTTACCTGGGTAGCGAAAAACGAACAAGGCCTAAGATGCCGACGCTTCCTTCACAAATTCAATGTTTGATTCTGATGGGCAGAATCTAGGAAAGGCTCAAACATGATCTCTCACACGTTACTCCGTTTAGAACAAGTTAGTTGAGGAGGTAGTAAGTAAGAAGGAAATCCCTGGTGCAGGTTGCACAAGCACGCTGAGTTCTTGAACTCAGTTGACACATCTCTCTTGCAATCTGGACAACCAGACCAAGGTTGTGGTTCCGTTAGTAGAAGTTTCAGAGCCATGGAGTTAAGTGGCTTGAGCCTCTTAACCCAAAATACTCTCAACATGAAGCATCGAGTGGAGCAAGCACTTGCATTTGGCAAGTTTCTTGGCATGTCAATCATTGATGATCAAGAAATTCAAATTCATGATTGGTTTAGAACGAAGGAGATCTTGGGTTTTAGGAATTTTTCTTTAACCGTGTCTTGAAGTGTGAGTTCAGAAGATGGTTTGGATCATATTAGCAAAAGTTCTGATGACTCCTCTGTTAGTCTAGCTTTCTCTCTCAGGAGTAGGAAAAAAAACTATCAGAATTCTATGACAAGGTTGTGGTTGTTCCTAATAGCAAGGGAACATGAAGTTCAAGAGGAAAGGGCAGAAGAATGCGAAGTTCTAGAAGAAGAGGCAGAGGTGGCAAAGGAAAGTCTGTGCTGTTCATTAGTTTTTGGTCTTCTGGCTATCTACTCTGTTTGCATGCTGGTTTGGGCTATGGCTTGATGTTGTCATTTTGTTAAGTTGAGGTGGTTTTTCTGAGCGTTTTCCTTGTGCATTTATGGTGGTCAGTTTAGTCATTTTCTGGGTTGGGCCTTGGACCTAGTGTTTTTTGGGGTCTTTGAGTCTAGGCCTTTTTGGAGTCTCATGTCTGGAGGCTTCTTTTTTGTTCTGTTTGTGTATACTCTATACTTTTATTTTTAATAAATTTTACTTTATCTTCTAAAAACTATAGGTTTTTACACTACTAAAATATTGTCCATGGATTTGATTGACAGAATTTAATGATGAGAAATAAAGACAGCTTGAATATATATTTCAATGAGAGTAAATTAGAATTAATACCTTAAATATGAGATTCAATGAGAAAGAATGGAATGAATCAAAACGTAGTATCCAAATTAGAAATTCTGCCCTCACAAAGAGAAGGACTAAATTCAAACAAATGAGTATTTTAATCAAATAAAAGTCCAGAAGCATTGGGCACCGGGGAACCATTCCCACTTTTTTATAATAGTATAGTATAGATTAGCTGACCTTACCAGCAGATATGGTAGACATTTTGTTTCCCCCACAAAACAAAACATACAATTTAAATGGAATGAAACAGAAGTACCAAAAAGATCATTATTTCACCATGGCAAGAAACAAACTAGCAGCAATTATAATTTTTTTTTATAATAGCAGCAATTGTAATAGAAAGCATGCTTCTCATTATTTCACCATGCCAAGAAGGTAAAGATCCCAAACTAATAACGGATGTTATAGAAAAAATACGAAATTAAAATTAAAGAAAAGGAGTCCAGGGTTCTTAGTTCTTACCAGGTGTAATACCATGCTTCTCACTTTAGTTTGCACTTTCCCCATCGGGTTCTGCTTTCCATCCAAAGCTCCCCATTTCAGCCCAATAGCTTCAACGAACCCACCAATACTATGAAACCGAGAAGTCCAGAACCCACACCAACATATCACCCGATTCTGTCTTTTCTTAATTCTCCAAAATCCAAACTTTAGTCAAGCGTTTCAACTATCCCTTTTTTTTATAGAACTACAAAGCAAAATACTGAACCATAGACCTCCAAAGCTCCTTATTTAATAGCCACAGCTTCAACGACTCCATCACAGAAACGCGTTAGTTACCTACGGGCCACACTGTCAAGTACTAAATTCCTTTATCGGCTTTCTTCAGAGCTCCCCACTTCATCACTAGAGCATCAACGATACCCTCGAAACTATCAAAACTGAACCCCACAACATCAACAGCAACCCCCAACCTCTCAGCCCCAGCAGCAGTAACCGGCCCATGAGCAACCACAATCAACCCCGGCCATCTCTCCCTCACCATTCCCCACTCAAACCCCATCTCTCTTAAGCTCTTAAGCATCCCCTCTACCTCTCCCGTGCTCGTAAACACTATTGCATCTAAACCCTCTTTGCTTCTCACCAACCCCTCAGAGCATCTCGGTCCCGCCCACCTCGTCTCGTATGCCGCAACTCTGACAGGAACCCAGTCGTTGGACCTGAGGTCCCGAAGAAAATTGGGGATCACCGGGGGTTCCTCAATTCCGGTCACGAGTGGAACTGGGCAGAGAACTCTGCGCCCCGCTCCGGGACCGAGCGATTCGACGAGGCTCGATGGAGTTGCAACGGGAGGAATCAGAACCCTGATTCGACCTGGGCTTTCGCATAGCTTGGCGATGAAGGCCTCTGTTAGAAGCTCGGCGTCTTTGCCGAGGGCGGCGATCGTGAACAGATCGCCAATTCGGGACAACGGAGGCGCTTCCCTTTCGAGATCATCGAGGATTTCAGAGAAGGACGAGATTCCGGTTCGCGACGTGAAGGCGATGGCGGAGAAGAATTCCAACGAAGTTTGTACGGATCTAATAGAGGCTTTGCATTGTGGAGTGGATTCGACGACAACGGTTGGGTACCAGAGAGGGGTGGAACCGCGGAGCTCCAGGAGATGAGCTAGCCTCTTGGCATAGTTTACCGGAGTGGTGAACGCGATGCGCCTGTTGGAGAGAGGACCAGGTGATGGATTCGACTGTCGACATGGAGGTTGGTTTTCTACAGCCATGGCCAAGGTGAACGTGCCCATAATTGAAGCCATCGTCGACCGTCGTCTTCACTTTCTTTTATTTTACGCGCCCATGTATATTTCAATCACGCAACTGTAACGGCTGAACAGAAAGGTTAAGCCTGAGCTCAATACATATAGTTGTGCGTGAGACGGATCGGATTCCAAATATTTATGTTATAAATAACTTAAAAAGGGTAATTTTTTTAAACTATCCTTCGTTTAGTTAATTGACTATGTGTACTGTTTGAAAATTGACTAACACTACCCTATTATTAACATCGATTAATATTCCATCAAAGTCCGTACATACGTGACGTTTGAATTTTTTTAAAACCCAATGCTATCTTTGGCCTTGTCCCCTTCCTCCCAATTCGACACACCCTCCGTCAACACCATATCACCGGAGATAACTGCACTTTATTCGTACTATATAACAAAACAGAAAAAACCAAAAAAAACTGTGATCTTTTCACAGTCAAGAACCTAAAAGAAAAAACATTGAAGATGAGGGAAAAAAACTATAGGGATGTTATAAAAGATTTCTTTGAGCTTTAATAGGAACAACACGAACAAGACAAATACATATACATTAAGGAATACCGTTCAATTTGGATTTATATACTACAGGGATGAGGAATTTTGGGTTATTGAAATTGAAAATTCAAGAAATAACGTTCAGTTCTATCTTTCTCTCTGCAAAATCCATAGAGGACAAAGGGAAACAGCAGAGAGGACGAAGGGAATTATCCAGAAAAAAGAGGAGATGGGCATAGATTTTTAAGGTTTACTTGTGGGTTTTGATGAGGGAAACAGAAAGAATAAGTCTGATCTCTCTCTCTCTCTTATTTCTCTGGGCGGTGGCGGCAGCAACCCAACTCCCATCTCTCTTTCTCTCTCTCTCTTCTTCCTTTGGGCGATGACGGCAACAACCCCTCTAAAGTTCGATTTCTCTTCCTCTCTCCCTTCTTCTTATGGGCGACGGCGATAGCAACCCCCTCTGATGAAGTCCGATCTTTTTCTCTTTTTTCCTTCGAGCGACGACAGCGGCAATCCCTCTAATGTCCGATCTCTCTTCCTCTTTCTCTCCGCTTCCTCTAGGCGATAGTGGCGGCAAGCCCTTTGAAGTCTGATCTCTCTTTCTCTCTCTCTTCTACCTCGGGGCGACGGCAGCAGCAACCCCTCTAAACTCCCATCTCTCTTTCTTTCTTTCTCTCTTTCTTCTTCCTTTGACTGAAGACGGCAGTAATCCCTTTTGAACTTTGATCTGTATTTCTCTTTCTCTCTTCTACCTCTGCGGTGGCATTGCATTTTTTAAGCCCAATGACGTGAGTTACAAGATCGTCTTTGAGCTCTGTATTTTTTAAGCCGCAGGCTCTTGGACCATTGCAAAACCGAATATTTTGGACTATAAAAGGGTAGTTTAGGCATTTTGCATGAGTTTTGACAGAGGTTAACGGTAAGGGTAGAGTTAGACAATTGTCATAAACAGTAGAGATAGCATTAGTCAATTTTTAAATAGTAAGGGTAATTTTAGTCAATTAGCTAAACCATAAGGGTAGTTTAACTTAAAACTTCATTTTTTATAACCTTAATAAAAAAGGATTCAAAGACATCATATCATGTTGGAAAAAACTTCAAACCAAAACGAATGGTTCATAAAAGTGGTAATCAATCAATTTGTTTTTTCTCTGAATTTTCTGGTACCATAGATTATCTCTACCGTCAAATTGTGAATTGTTTATACATTAACAAATGAAGTGTTTTAATCAAAATTATCTTATCTATCATACTTACCTTTGACATAAAATATAATAAGAATTACAAGAAATTAAACTAGCAAACCTTTACATATTATTAAATCAATAGTTCATTTGAGTCTTAATTGATTCAAAACGTGGAAGAATCAGAACCAATCCAATTATTAACCAGAATAAAATTATATAATGGTTATATAGAACCAACCCCTCTATAAATTTGGATTAGCTAGGCCCTTTAGCTGTATAGCAGGCTATGGGACCAATGATAATTATAAAATACATGGTGCTCACACTGAGAGTTTGAATGGTTGTGATTTTATGATTGATGTAGAGTATTATAATTGATTCCATAGCCTGTTAAATAGCTATTGTGTTCAGCTAATCCTATCTCCCCATTGACAACCCTGTGGATGAAACCATGCAGACCACTTTATTAACAAGCAGCAAATGCATTCTTTTGTTCCTTTATCTATAATGAAGATCGACTGTTTGGGTCTATCAAACGGAGAGCAGAGAAACAAAAGTCAAACAGAGAGCCAAGAAACAAAGGAATTCAATGTATGTTATTGATTATGCGATGAGTCTTGGTAGATGTTTGACTAACAACCTACAACAACTTGACTAACCGTCCAGTTGTCTAACAAACTATAGTTGGATAGTAACCGACTAGTCTCTAATATGCCCCCCTCAAGTTGGAGTGTTTGTGATGCCCAATTTGGACATGAGATGAGATGATTGTTCTGCGTCCAAAGCTTTAGTGAAAAGGTCGGTGGCTTGACACTTGGTAGAAGTGTGCCAGAGCTGTATGGTCTTATCTTAAACATGTTCACGCACAAAATGACAATCAATATCAATATGTTTTGTGCGCTCGTGGAAGATGGGATTCGTAGAAATGTGTATGGCTAACTGATTGTCACAGAAAAGTTACATAGGCTCAGAAAATGGGAATGTTTAAGTTCAGAGTAGGCATTTAAGCCATAATATTGCAATAGCCATGGCCCGATATTCAGCTTCCGCAGATGAACATGACACGATTGACTGCTTCTTAGTTTTCCACTAAATGATGGAGATGCCAAGTAACGCAACATAACCTGTAATGGACCTCCAAGTTAATGGGCAAGAGGCCCAATTAGAAACACAATAGATTCGGAATAGCATCTCATTGTTTGTTGGAAAGAATATTCCATGATTAAGATTGTTTTTGATGAATCTGACCACTCTTTTAGCAACCTCAATATGCTATGTGCGTGGCTTGCTCAAGAAATGTGTTAGTATATGTACTAGAAAATTGAGTTATGGCCTAGTGATGGTTATGTAGACTAACTGACCCACCAATTGTCTATACTAACTTGGATCATCCAACAGTGGACTATTGTCATCAACAAAGTGTTTTTATTGCACCATAGGATGTGATGCAGGTTTGCAATTCTCCATTATTGTATCAGAAATGATGTCCAAAGCATATTTGTTCTAACATACGAAAATTCCATAACTGCTACGTGTAATTTCCAAGCCCAAGAAATATTTGAGTGGTGCTAAGTTTTTTAGCGAGAAACATTCATGGAGATGTTGCTTGAGATCATGTATGCGGGACGGATCATTTCCGATTACGACCAGGTCATCAACATACATCAAAACCACAGTGAATGATTCATCTCGCTTTAGTGTAATGAGGGAGTAATCTGTTGTGGACTGGTTGAATTTGATATTTGTCAATACATTTGCAAACTTCTCATACCAGCAGTGTGAGGCCTGTTTAGGCCCTTATAAAGACTTGTGTAACTTGCAAACTTTATTTTGCGGTTGCTTGGGAAAACTGGGAAGTATGTTCATGTACACATCTTCTACAAAATCCTCATTCAAGAAAGCGTTGTTTACGTCCAACTGGTGAAATTCCCAACCCTTTGATGTCGATATAGTCAACAAACAGCAGAGTGTGACTAGCTTTGCCACACTAGCATATGTATCATGACAATCATATCCCTCTACCCGGTTGTATCCCTTTGCCACTAAGCGGGCTTTGTAGCGCTCTATCGTGCCATCGGCATAGTATTTTAATTTGCATGCCCACTTTGCTCCAATGGGCTTCTTTCCTAGAGGAAGGTCGATTGTGGACCATGTTTTATTTCTCTTGAGTGCTTGTATTTTTTCATTCATGGCATGTTTCCAATTTGGACCATGGGTCGCCTGAGCATATGATTTCGTCTCAATGGGTTTAAACGAGGCTAAGGCTAAGGCGAATGTGGAATGTGGCAGGTTACAAATGAAGTCTTTGAGTTGGGTGGGTGGTTTTCTAGCACGTTGAGGCCGAGATAGTTCAACATGCTTGGGAGATGAATGCAAGTTAGTCTCAACGTTATCTTGAGATGCCACAGGTTCAGTGGATTGATCTAAATGGTTAAGCACAAAGGGTTCTGTCTGTTGTTTAGTTTGAGGGAGCGGGAACACAATGTTTGGATTATGGGTTTGGTTAAAGGAATCACTAACATATGGGAAAATATTTTCATAAAAGGTTACATCTCTTGAGGTGAAAATTCGATGAGTCTCGAGGCTATATACTCGGTGTTGCCGCACGAATTGACCGGGGGAAACGAGGTAAATTCACTGTCCAGGTTCCTTATGTTGGTCGAGGACTTCAAGGCCTCGGAAGAGGTGAGCCGAAGCCGAGGACTACAGGCCGAGGCAAGGTATTCCTTCTGAGGACTGTGGTAGCCGATGACTGTAGGCCGAGGCGAGGTCCCTAGTGACTAGAGATACTGCAAGACAGGGAATGTCAGAGGCCTCGGGCGAGTACCCGGGGCAGAGGCTCCAACGCTCAAGTTAGTACGAGGTGTAAAGTAGGAGAGGGTGCAGGAGAGGCCTTGGTGATAGTCCTTGGATGCACCAGATCTCCCAAAGTAAATGCTAAGGAGGCAAGGTAGGTGCCGGGATTAAATGAGTAAGTTGTGTTAGGATTTTCTGTTCCGAATCCCCCTTTAAGGGGGGAGGTTACCTCTTATTTATACTTGAGCGTGCTAGAGGTAGGTGAAGATGAACGCCTCGGATGAGAGCCGTATGAGGTCAAGCGGTAGGCCCTGGTAGATATGTCTGACCGTCATGTGGTTGGCTCCGTAGAAAGGCAGTAGGGCTCCCTCCTGCTGTGGTTGACGCTGTTAGACGTTAGTGGGCTGGGCTTCCCAACCCGCGATGGGCTAGGCCAAACTAACCCACATCACTCGGTATCCCTTTTGTCCGTACAGATAACCAAAAAATATACACCGGGTTGCCCGAGGTGCAAACTGTGCCTAATGGTCGCTCCTAGGCATAGCATAAGCACCCAAAGATGCACAAGTGATTGAGAGTGGGAGGTCTTCCAAAAAGTAACTCAAATGGTGATTTACCTTGAAGGGGAATGGCTGGCAAATAGTTGATTATGTATGCTGAAGTGAGCATACATTCACCCAAAAGCTAACTGGTAATGAAGCTTGAAACTGCAAAGCACGGGCAACCTCTAACAAGTGCCTGTGTTTTCTCTCAGCTCTCCCATTTTGTTGTGGGGAATCGACACAAGTTCTTTGATGTACAATCCCATTTTAATCAAATAATGACTGAATGGGATTAGAGAGAAATTCTTTCCCATTATCAAATATCACTTGTTGAACATTACATTTGAACTGAATTCTTACCATGTTATAGAATGACACAAGCAAAGAAAATGTTTCTGACTTAAGTTTTAGCAAGTATAACCAAGTGCATCTATTGTAATCATCTACAATGGTCAAAAAATATATTGTGCTTAAATGAGAAGCAACGTGATAAGGACCCCATATGTCTATATGTATCAAAGCAAAGGTTGAAGTTGCTCTTGACGAGCTTATTGGAAGTGGAATTCTAATATGTTTTGCTCGTTTGCAACCATCACAAACCCCGTTACTGTCATTTGTGATATGCATGTTTAATAGTAAAGACAATTGACGAGCAGGAGCATGCCCAAGCCTAGTATGCCATGAAGTATATCCATCTTTATCTATATGTGATGTAGTAGAAACAACCATTGAAGCACTAGATTCCAAGTAGTAGACTCCATCAAACAAATGTCCCTTGCCAATCGTCTTCAAGTGTTGGTCATGTAATACACAGGATGTGGAGGAAAAGAGAGCAACACAGTTTAATTGTGTTGTAAGTCTTTTTATAGACAATAGATTATGCTTGAAGTTAGGCACATATAGTACATTCTAAATTACAAGATTAGGTTTCAATGTAACTGTTCCTATATGAGTGGCGCGTAAGAGATAATTATTTGGTAATCTAATAGAGAAAGGAGTTATTAAGGCTTCACAGTGAGTGAACAAGGTTTTGTTAGGGGTCATGTGATTTGAAGCTCCGCTGTCCAAAATCCAAAATCCAAATGCTCAAATGTATTGAATAAGTGAAAGGATCCTTATCAGTCATGGTTGAAGTAGCCAATGGGCCATGATTATCATCATTTAGTAGCCTCGATATATGATTATATTGGTCTATGGTGAGAGATATAGGTGCCACTTCTTGAGATCTAGGTAATTCACCTTTCACACAAGCTGCATGGGTTGATTTTCCATTATTGGGAATTCTTGGTTGACCGACCTTTGTCCCAACCTTTAGGATATCCGATGAGTTTAAAACACCTATCTCTGGTATGCCCTGTTATTTTGCAATACTCACATTTGGGTTTGGGTTTGGTCGGATTTCCATTACTCTGAATACCAGATTTACTCATAGAGAAAGCAACAACAACAATGTCAATTAGTGGCGCCTTCTAAGAAACCATGGCTTGGTGGCTCTCTTATTGTGTGGCCCTGGCATAGGCGTGGTTCACATTTGGAATTGGCTCCATGGCAAGGATGGCAGATCGGACGTTGTTGAAGGTGTCTGCAAGACCCATCAAGAATTGTAGAACTTGATCTTTCTGTCTTTTTGCAATCAATTTTCTTGCAGATCCACAAGAACACTCTAGTATTTCAAAAAGAACTGCAATTTCGTCCGTGTGAAATAGGAGGTCACTGACATGGTTCCTTGGTGTAATAGGGAAAGATCTCGCTTTAGTTGATATAACCAGGGACTGTGGCCCTGGGAAAACCTTTATTCAGTGTTGAACCAAATCTCCCTTGCAGAAGATGCATATGCAGCGTTTTCATCGAATTCTCATGCAAGAGAATTAAAGATCCACGAAGTGACCATGCTATTGCATTTGATCCATGCTCTTGTTTCTATTGGAGATTCTTCAGCTTTTAATATTGTCCCATCGACAAAGCCAAACTTGTTTTTGGCTTCTAATGCGATCCACATTGCTCTTTGCCATGTCGGGTAATTCTCCCCCGTAAGCGGAGACGAAACCAATACCACACCAGGATTTTCAGATGGATGCAGATAGTATGGTGATGTTGGATCAAGATCAAACATGGACGACGCCAGTGTCATTGTAGCGGTGTAGAGTTCGATCGATGCAAAACTTGATCAGAGCTCTGATACCATATCAAATAGAGAGCATAGAAACAAAAGTCAAATATAGAGCCAAGAAACAAAGGAATTCAATGTATGTTATTGATTATGCAATGTAGAGAGAGAGAGAGAGAGAGAGAGAGGTGGGGAATATTTGCCGCCATTGTTCACCTTTCCAGAGGAGTAAGGAGATGAACAATGTCTTTACCCTTATTTGATAAATTTTTAAAGTTAGCCTATAAATTTATTTTGATTGATATTAGGGGCCAAAAGTTGCCCTTATCGTACAAAACCCCAAAGACATTTAAATGTTTGGTAAAAAAATTAAATAGCACCCAAAGGATATTTGTGTCCACGTTTTAAAGTTAAGGGACCAAATCGAGACTGGGCCCAAACTACAACCAGGTATTAATCTCTTGTTTGAAATAAGTGCTTTTTCACCAAAGTATCATCAACACACGAATGAATAAACATGATTCAATAAGCGCTTTTTTTTGGAAAGATTTATGATTAGTACCCTATACTTGGGCATAGTGCCATTTTTGTCCTTGAACTTTAAATGTTATGATTGAGTATCCAAACTTTCAAAACGTGTCAATCTAGTATCTACCGTTAACCAATCGTTAAGTGACATTTGAAAAAGATACAAATGCCTTTTGAGTGTCATCTATTTTTCTTTATCAACAATCCAAACATTGACAAAAAATTAACAATCCAAAATATTTGTTTATTCTATTCAAGAAAGTTGGGGTCACGTCTTAGTGAGCATCTTGGACCCCATCTTTCTTGAATAAAAGAGTAAGAATGTAGGATTGTTAAATTTTTGTCAATGTTTAGATAGTTGTTAAAAAAAATTAGATGACACTCAAAGGGTATTTGTATCTTTTTCAAATGCCATTTAATGACTAATTAACAATCAAAATTTTCTAATCCTGAATTGATGCCAAATACACATTATAAGGGGGCTACTAATACATTATAAGGGGGCTACTAATACATAGGTGCTGTCATTCAGAATTCTGCATTTATATTGCACTGTATACAAAATGGTGCTAGGCCCAAAGTACAACATAGTAATAAGATTTTTTTTTCAAATAGTCAAGCGCTCGCAAACTCCGTTGATGAAACATGTAAGAAAATACTTCCGCTTTCCCGTCTCTCTTCTTGTATTCGTCCAACTCCAGCGCGCGCACATAAACCCTCTCTAGGGTTTTACCTGTTGAAATGAAAAATACGGTTAGTCTGTTTTTTTTTGAACTTCACTTCTACTATTTCTAACTCCTTCATCTTCTTCTACCATAGTGCTCTCTCTCTCTCTCTTCTTATTTTCATTATTTATTTATTTATTATTTATGTTTTGTAGGAAGATGAAGATCGGTTAAGAGAATTGCAGGAAGCCATATATTCCGACCCGGACAATTATTCCCACCATTACAATCTCGTACGACTTGCATTTCAAACCGTTGTCTGAACTGAACCAAATTGATAACCATTTTTTTTAATTAAAAATTTAGGGGGACTTTGCTTTTTTTTTTTTGAAGTTTCCAGCTCGTTGCTTTCTTTCTCTAAGAATCACATAACCAAAATAAAGTTTTTATATTTTCTTCGCTTTTGTATGGTTTGTGTTACTTTTTTCCCTCGATTTTTTTTTTCAATCTCTGTAGATTTTCGCAACAAAATCGAAAAGTCAATATTTGCTTTATATAGTTTTGCGTTGCATTTTTCGATTTTTCGTTTTTTCTTTCTAGAAATGTAGAAATAAAACCGAGAACTTCGACATTTATTTATTTGTTTGTTTTCGCAACGAATTGGGAAATCTTATTTGACATGTTCAGTTTCTTAGGGGGTTGGTTTTTCTTCTTGAAGTTTCTAGTTTTGGAGGTTTCTATAAGGAAATTGAAAATTTTGGTTCTTTCCTTTATTTTTTTTCTCCAGGGGCTTTTCTTGTGGGAGAAGGGGGAAGACACGAAGGAATTGAAGGAAAAAGCAGTAGAGCATTTCGTAATTTCAGCTAAACTAAATCCAAACAATAGTCATACCTTTCAGTTCTTAGGCCACTACTACAGTCGAGTATCGGTTGACTCACAAAGAGCTTCTAAGTGTTACCAGAGAGCTCTCACTCTCAATCCCAATGATTCTGAATCTGGGGTCAGTTATCGTTTTCCTTGTTATCACCTTTTGGAAACTGAAGACTTGCCCCCCTCTTATTTATTTATTTGCGTGTATCATGGGAATTGTTATTCTTTACGGGTTTAGTTTTAAATTTGAATGCTCATTCGTTTGCAGGAAGCTCTGTGTGATTTATTGGATAATGAAGGCAAAGAGAGTTTGGAAATTGTTGTGTGCAAAGAAGCTTCAGAGAAGTCACCGAGGGCTTTTTGGGCTTTCCGGAGGCTAGGTTACCTGCAGGTTTTGTTTTCATCTCTTTTTGCCTGATTGAACTTTTTATCTCTAGATTATATTTCTCTTAATTGCCATTCCTTGGTGCAATGGTAAAACCTTGGGCTGACAAGCGGGAGACTGGGTTCTAGTCTGAGAGTGGCCACTTTGTGCATCAAAACATGGTGGAGGCTAGGTTACCTGCAGGTTTTCTTTTCGTCTCTTTTTGCCTGATTGAACCTTTTATCTCTAGATTATATTTCTCTTAATTGCCATTCCTTTGTGCAATGGTAAAAACTTGGGATGACAAGTGTGAGAATGTGGGTTCTACTCTGAGAGTGGCCACTTTGTGCATCAAAACATGGTGGAGGTTAGGTCCATAACACAGTCCACCCCTTCCAAGACCCCGGTAGCTGGGGCAAGCATTGGGCAAATTCCCTTTTATTGTAATTTCTTAATTGTTCCTTGTTGGCTATGTCCTATGTCTGAAATATGTTTTTTTATTTTAAAATTTGGATGTTGTTTAAGAATTCTTATTTATTTATTTATTTTTAACTTAAACTTCTCAGGTGCATCAAAAGAAATGGTCTGAAGCCGTACAGAGCCTTCAACATGCTATAAGGGGTTACCCTACATGTGCAGATTTATGGGAAGTATGCATTATTATTTGTAACAGTTCTCCATTTCATGGTTTCTATCTGTTTTTTAATATATATTTTTTGGCTGCGACTTTTTAAATACTTTTGGTTTCACTTAATGTCTATCATGTTAATTTCATTTCAGGCTCTTGGTCTTGCATACCAGCGACTGGGAATGTTTACGGCTGCTATAAAAGTAAGTTATTTAGTCATCTTATTCGTTAATTGCTGCATTGCATGTAGCTGTTATTAGAAGCAGTAATATGCGGCCTAAGTTTTTGCTTGTTTTTATTACTGATAAGAAAGGAAGTAGCAAATATACTTATAAAAAAGGAGGTAGCAAATATACTTATAAAAAAGGAGGTAGCAAATCAGACATATGACTGTAGATCTGTTTGAAACTATTTCTCAGTTTAATAAGCCTGCCTTAAATCAAATGCTCTTGTGGATGACCATTTTGATTGACGAAAAAATGTGTTATTATTGGGGAATTAGTCTTCTGCCACAGCTTTTGAATGCATACAAGGATCCAAAAGCTCTCTAAGTTAATCATAACTATTACAATAAAACCTTGTTGGAAGTTTAATTAATTATTGTTTTTTATATTTACCATAACAGTCATATGGGCGAGCCATTGAATTGGAGAATTCAAGAGTCTTTGCATTGATTGAGAGTGGAAACATTTTGTTGACGCTTGGTTCCTTCAGAAAGGTAAGATTAAGTTGGGTTCTTTCCTTTATTTTTTGCTATATTGTGGCTGCTTCATTTTAGTGTGAAGTTATTTTTTGAGAAAATTTAACCAGAATTTATTAAGAAAGGGGGGGGGGGATCAAGAGGAGAWATACAAAGCAGGGGGGGGGGGAACTCCTACAAGTTACAAAGGAGGAAGCTTGTCGCTATACAAATGCTCCAAATACACACCAAATTTAGCTAGGCCATCTGCAGTATGGTTGTGTTCCCTAGGAATCCAAACTAAGTTAACATTTAAACCATCCAAAGAATCCCAAGCTTCAGTCAGATAGTGATACAGTCTCCAAGGGCCCCCTTTTTTTCTCTTAACCATTTTATCGTATTTGCTGAATCACCTGCAATGATCAAATTCTGAATCCCCAAATTCTTTATTATCTTGATTCCGGTGAGAGCAGCCATCACTTCAGCCTTTGTGGAGTCAGCCCAACCGATTGGACCACTAAAAGTCCAGCAGATATTGCCCCTTTCGTCCCTTACTATACCACCAATACTTGCAAGGCCCGGATTACCTAAGGCACAACCGTCAAAATTAAGGGTTATCGCACCTTCACTGATGGATACGGGATGCCTCGAGGAAGTTTGCTGGGGATGAGGCAAAAACAGAAAGGGGTGAATATCTTTGATAAGATCATTAACCGGAAGTCCTTTAAACAGAGCTGAATTCACTGACCAAAAGATGCAAAGATGGTAATATCTGAGATTAACTCCTCCAAGGTTCTGCTTTTATTGTCAAAGATACGGATGTTTCTTTCATCCCAAACACCCCACATCACTGCATGAGGCACTGATTGCCAAAAGACTTTACCCCTTTTGCTAAGCCCTATTCCTTGCCATTGATTCTGTTGTCCATAATGTGTTTTGGAAAAGCCCAGCTGTACCCTGCCATATTCAAGAAGTGGGACCATATCCTTTGAGTGAAACTGCAATGAAGAAGAATGTGATCTGCAGATTCACCCTCGCTGAGACATAAAATACAAACATGAGGAGAAATGGAGCATCTTCCCAAAAGTTTTTTCTGTAGGAGATCACAAATATTAACTTTTTGGAGACAGGCTTCCCATACAAAGAAGCAAATTCTTGAGGGGATGTGGCTGCACCAGATTTTCTTGTAAGGAAAAGAGGAATGCTGATCTTCAGCAGTCAAAGCCCTGAACATAGGCTTAGAAGAGAATTTGCCATTTGGGTGAAGGGTCCATATTCGGGTGTCAGAATGAGAGGGGGATATGTCGGCATCTTTGAGGGTTTGGATTAAGACTATTAAATCAGAAATCTCTGAGTCCCTTAGGGGTCTTCTGAGGTGGAGGTTTAAAGAATTCTCGGCGGTCTAGTTTGGGAGGCAAGAAGAAATAGAGGCTTCTTGGTCAAGGGTGAGGTTAAACAACCTAGGGAAAGAGGCTTCCAGGGTAGATTCCCCCCACCAAAGATCTTTCCAGAATTTAATTTTAGAACCGTTTCCCACTTTATACCTTATAAAAGGAAAGAAAGAAGTATGAATGGAACATATACCTTTCCAAGGATTTGTGGCCTTTATCCTGTTCAAWTGGAGATTGCAATCCCACCCGTTTGTATTTCGTCCATATTTACTTGAGATGACAGCTATCCAAAGAGCATTTGGTTATTTCAGAAATCTCTAGAGCCATTTGCCTAGGAGAGAAGAATTTTTCTCTTTAGCTGTCCAATACCCAAACGACCTTCCTCTTTTGGTCTGTATACTTGTTTCTAGTTGACCAAATGGTTTCTCTTATCTCCACCACCTTCCCAAAGAAAGTTCCTTTGAAGCTTCTCAATCTGATTTCTGACTTTGGTCGGAATCTGGAAGACAGAAAGAAAGTAGACCAGTAGATTTGATAAGGAGGCCTTTAAGAGAGTAAGCCTACCCCTTTTGGAGAGATAACACTTTTTCCAAGTCGATAATTTTTTCTCGCATTTCTCCATCACTGGTCTCCAGAAATGGAAGGATTTTGGATTCCCTCCAAGAGGCATCCCAAGATAGGTAATGGGGAGATTCTCCACTTTGCACCCCAAYAAAGATTTGAAATTTTCTAGAAGTTCCACTTCCACTGATTTAATAGCAACAATACTACTTTTGCAGAAGTTAACACTCAAACCAGTTAGAATCTCGAAACATTCGATTACCATTTTAGTGTTTGTGATGTTGGTTATGGAGGCATCCAAGAATAGGATTATGTTGTCGGCGAACTGTAAGTGAGAGATGTGCATTTTATCCCTACCCACTTCAAAACCTTTCACCAAGTTGAGAAGAATTGACTTGTCAAAGAGATAATTAAATATATCCATCACCAAAGTGAAAAGTAATGGGGAAAGAGGGCAACCTTGYCTTWKACCCCTACTAGCCTTRAAATAACCTTTCGCTTCACCATTTATCAATACTGAAAACCAAGGAGAGCCAATACAACCTTTAATCCACCTTATCCAGTTTCTCCCAAAAACTCTTAGTCCAGTGATTTAAAAGGCGCGCCTAAGCGCTCAGGCGAGGTGCATTTTAGGGTAGGCGCCTCGCTCAGGTTCTAGGCGCAACCCATTCAAAAGGTGCACCAGGCGTGTGCCTTTTGAAAATTTACCGCTTTTTCCCTTTTTTTGAGTCTGGCCGCTGAACCCCCGACCCCCTTTTGCCACGCCCCTCGAGGCCAGCCCAAACAAGTCCATGTTAGGGTCTTAAATTCTTAGGTTTCACACAAAATAATAATTTTATAGTTTGAATTGCTTTTAAGAAGATATTTTATTAAGATGAATGAATGGACAACATTACCAAATAGGGGGTTCTTGAAGCTTCGATGAGCGAGCGAATTAGGCTTGCCTCGAGGGGCGTGGCACAAAGGCGGCTCGTAGAATTAGGAATTTAATATATCGCATTGGCTACTTGATGCAATTGAGAAAAAAAGAGATTGTGGGTTTTATATGCTTGAAAATGTTTTATATGTTTGATTTCATTTTTAAATTCTCATTTGAATATGCTTTACATATTATATTTATGTATTTTAATTTTAGATAATAGGTTTTTTGAAACATTTGTTTTAAAACTTAAGTTAGTATTTTTATTAATATTATGTTTTATAATTTTTTGTTTTTTTTTTTAATTTTTTGCATTTTTTTTCGAATTTTTTGCATTTTTTTTTAAATTGTGCACCTTACCTCAAAATGGCTTGCGCCTCGCCTTGCACCTTGCGCCTTTTTTGCACCATGCGCTTTTAAAACACTGTTTTAGCCTTGAGTAGTCAAGAATGTAGTCCCAATCCACTTTGTCGTATGCCTTCTCAAGATCAAGTTTCACAAGGACCCCCAGGATCCTCGAGGATTTTCTGTCTTCCACACACTCATTTGCAATAAGAATGATGTCCACAATTTGTCTTCCTTTTAGAAAAGCAAACTGATTTGGGGATATTAGATTTTCAAGGACTTCTTTAAGTCTGTTGGTCAGAACCTTCACCAAAATTTTGTATATGCTCCCAACCAAACTTATAGAACTAAAGTCTTTAACTTCCAAAACTCCCCCTTTCTTAGGGATGAGGCAGAGAAAGGTAGAGTTAAGGCCCTTGTTAACAATGGCARATGAATGGAAGTCCCTGAAAAACTCCATGAGATCTGACTTTACAATTTCCCAACACTTTTGGAAGAAAAGAATAGGGAAGCCATCCAGCCCTGGAGCCCTATCTCCGTCCATGCTGAAAATAGTCTTCTTGACTTCTTCCTCGTCAAAGCTTCTTTCCACCAATCCCTCTTTTCAGCTGATAGGGTAGTGCCATCCCAATTATGTAATGTAAACTGATTTTCACTATCCTTGGAGTCGAGGGTTTTAAAGAAAGGAAGGAAAGCTTCAGAAATTTCCTCAGAATTCTCCACTTCTCTCWGATTGAGATTGAGCTTGGAAATAAAGTTCTTCCTAGTTCTTCCCGAGGCATAGGTGTGAAAAAATCTGGAATTATTGCCTCCTTTCAACCATCTCACTCTTGATCTTTGTCTCCAATAGATCTCTTCCCTTCTAACTAGTTGCTCCCATTCCTTTCTTAATTCTGCTCTTTTATTTCTGTTTAAGGCATTGGGGGTCCCATTTTGCTCTCTATTATCCAAGTCATCTAGTTCCGAAAGAACTCTTTTTTTCTCTTCTTCAACAGCTTTAAATTCTTCTCTCCCCCAAGCTTTAAATTCTTCCCTTCAAAGCTTTCTCTTCTTACCACCATGTTGCAACCTTTTTACTGAAGTCTTTGTGTTGAAGCCAGAATTTTTCCAATCTGAATGGAGTCTTTCTTTTGATGGTTCTTTCGGTGTTCAGCGATATGGGCCAGTGGTTTGAGGTACATCTTGGACGAAGTTCTTGACACAGGTTTGGGAATCTCTCCAACCAATCCTGAGATAGCAAAAATCTGTCAAGTCTGCAGCTTATGGCATTTTCTTGCATGTTTGACCAGGTGAAAAGTCCATTGGTAAGAGGGAGATCACACAGATTGTGTCTGTCAATAAAATTAGAGAAATTTCTCATGCTTCTGGTTGGGGTTCTACCATTAGAATGTTTTGAACTGAACCTGGTGACATTGAAATCACCCAGTAAACACCATGGAATGTTTTGAACTGACCTTTCCAGATTTAGTCACCTCTTTGTTAAAGATTCTCTCCTTTTCATCTTCTTTGTCAATTCTCACAATCTCCAAAGTTCCGGCTATACTGTCAATTCCCAAATTCTCTTTCTCCTTCCTGTCAATGCTTTGATGGAACAGCTGTCTGAATTGGAACGATCTGTATTGGGTGGGATGGCAACTCATGTGAACCTGAAAGAGTGGAAGAGGAGAAAAGGCAGTGAGATGCAGAAACAGAGCAAGAAAAAGGAGATTGAAGAGAAGACAGAACCGAATGGGGGGCGGGAGATCTCCCTGAGTGCAATTTATGGTTTTGGTCAGGAAAGGAGGTTGATGAATCTCTCCCTTGTCTGCTAACAGGGGGGTCTGATTCTGAAGACATTCCGTAGCCTGGATCGATCAACTGGGTCTGCTCGAGAATCTCCACACAACCCCAACTCCCTTTGTTTGCGAACAGGTCTTTTACTCTTTTAAGAGCAAACTCACGAGGGTCTGGATCTGCTTCAGTAGCGTACRAGCTGAGGTCATCCTCTGTGTCTTCTTCCTCACTGGCAGCAGGCCGGCCAGAACTCACGGATGGAGTTGGAGCCATGAAAACTTTACCAAGATGCCAGCCCGAGCTGAGAGGAGTTTCGGGAACCGCCTGACTGAAGGTGGGGGTTGCTGGTGGGCTTAAGGTGCTAGATGGGCCGGAAGACTTAAGTGGGCCTTGGGTTTGAGAAGAGCGGCCCAAGTTTTCAAACCGGCTGGGAGTTGGGACAATATTGGAAATCCAGGAATTAGGGGGGGCTTTTGAAAATTGAGACTTTTTAATGAGGGGTTGCGCCTGTCCATCTTCTTCGTGTCTTTTGAGCTCCACAAGGCCTTTGGATTTGGGGATGGAGGAGAGCTCCTGCGCAGTTGCACGAGGAGCCACTGCCGACTTTCCACCTTCTCTGTGCATGCCTCTACTGCGACCAGATCTCTGAGCAACAAAGGTGGAAGTGCCACGTGGAGGAGAGACCTTTGAGCGAGTTGGGTCGGAGAGTCCGGAAGGTGACTTGTTTGTCTTCTCCACCTCCACAGAGTTGTAGAACCAGACGTTTCTATCCAGAACTGGGATTGAACGAGGGATGGCATGAATACCATGGTTTTTCACCCTGATTTCGACAAAACTTAACTCAGAAAGATTCAAGGATCAGGGATCTATGTCTTCAAGACCTTTGCCGGTGTCTCCTATCAGAGAAAAATTTTCCTTCGTACAGAGGTGGAATGGAAGCCCTCTCAACTCGAGCCATCCGTTGAATCTCAACTGATCAGGGACTGCGTTAATCTTTGGCCACCAACATTCAATTTGAACCCAGTCACCAAAAACGAAGATTGCTTTGAGCTTGGTCCAAGAGATAATCAAGTCTTCCGAAGGGGCAAACCCCACTGCGTTATTTTGTTCAAAAGGGCGCAGTTTCAACAGGGATTCAGAATGCAAATTTGCAGACAGTCCAGCTTCAACTTCATCTCAACTTAACGCAGGTGTTTTCGTACAGACAAAAGCCAAACTCCAGTTTCCAAATGGCTTTCCCTGATGTGCAATCGAAAGAAACGCAGACCGTCCGGATTTTTTGATTCTGCTTTTGACTTCGAGCGAGGGAAAGGCTTCTTGCGTGAGATTAAAATGGCGGGGTTTCCTCTAGGCAGAACAGCCCAATCCAAAAACTGGATGAAAGAGTTCCAGCCACCGGAAACTGGTTCTTCTGGGATACAAATGTGTCTTACCTTGCCTGATTTTTCCCATCTGCTCAAATGTGTCTTTAGTTTGCAAATAAAGTCTTTGGTCTTCCTTTTTCTTGTCTACATGTCAAAACTAAATACTTGAGTTTGGAGTTGCAGCTGAAAAAGCTATTTAGTATAAATATAAAGGCATTCTTCTTTTTATTGTTACAAAAACTTTACTAAGAATAAAAACTCAGGATTCTATTGCCTTGTTCAGGGTGGTATAGGAATGTCCTTCACAGTTGCATGGACTTTTGGAGTCATAGTCATTATGCATCTTGTGTTTTGTGGTTGCATATGTAGAAAGTGGTACCATTTGTTATCTTTTGGTGCCTATGAAAGGACAAGAATTGGAGGATCTTTGTTCCTTTTTCCATAGTCCATACCTGTTCTAGGAATTTGTCTGGATGTTTGCCTCACCTCATTGGTTTGACATTAGTGTTGTAGCATCTTACTTTTTTTTTTTTTTTTTGAAATTGGAAGGATAGGACAAACTGTGTTAGGACAGATAGCATCTTACTTTTTTCCATAGTCCATTTCTTACTATAATTAGAATTACTCTTTTGTCCCTGCTTAAGTTATATAATAGGACAGATAGGACAGACTGTGTTACCCTAACTTTATACAAGGATAGAAATACCTCTAAGATTGCCACTGCAAGTATTTGACAGAGGTGGTGGTTACTGATGAGTTGAAAGAAGTTGATGAAGAGGAAGGAGAAAGAATCTGGGAGGTGATTATGGAGATTTTTAGGATCCTAGTGAAGGAAGAACTTGGGAAGGAGCAAAACAAGGATTAGGAGGGTAACACTCCTTTTCCTGGGATAGTAGAGGAGAGAAAGGAGATCGGGAGAAAGGCTGCTAATAAAAAATGCTCACAGAAGTACAAAATGTCTAAGATCGTTGTGTATCTTCTTATTTGGACCTCAGTTCAAGGAATGAGTTAGATATAGATAGCGAGTTCTCTAACTGCTCTGTCAACGGTTTGGGTTGCCTTCCTGCTAGCATAATGTCTAAGATCGTTGCAGATCTTTATGTTGATGTGGTGGTCAGACCCTCTAGTAGGGAGCCCCACAGCACGTGTGGAAGGGGTAGGAGACGAAGGGGAGGGAGGGGTTAAGTGTTTCCTGTAGTTTTTCCCGGCTTTGGTCCTTGTTGTCTTAGCCCAGGTGGGGTTGTTTTTTGTTTTTTGTAGTGCATTGTTTTGAGGTTTTGGTTCCATTGGGTTGGTTCTGTCCATTTTTAGGCTTGGGAATTTTGTTGTTTTTTTGTCTTTTTTGTGAGGCTGATCTTGACTTCAGCTTCTTTCTTCTGTATACTTATTGTATGCTCTGCTTTTCTTTTAATAAATTATACCTTACCTATTTAAAAAAGGCACTCTTCCCAAACGGAGCCTAAAGGTATATACCCTTTGCACATGGAACTAACTGACATGGATAATCAGACAATAATAATTAAAAACTCTATATTTCTGTATGGTCACTTATTTTAAGATTATCCTCAATGTTTACTAAAGAATCCTTGTGGTTCTGATTTAGAAGCAGTTATACCCTAGATACCATTAGCCTAGGTTTTCTGTAACACTTAGAAAACTTGTGGGCTGCTGTTATGGTTCATGGACTTGAGTTTTGCGCTTGTTGAGATGATCTTTATTTGCATCTAATCATATTTTTATTTACATGAACACGGAGGAGGTGTGATATTACTTGCTTTCTGTCTTTAGGGAGTGGAGCAATTTCGACAGGCTTTGGAAACTTCACCTTGCAACATAGCTGCACATTATGGTCTAGCTTCTGGGTTGCTTGGTTTGTCAAAGGAGTGTGTAAATTCAGGTGCATTTAGTTGGGGAGCTTCATTACTGGAGGTTTGTTTTCTTGGGAATATTCTGAAATTGCATGTTTCTCCATTGAAAATGCAAGCAGCAATAAAGAGATTTTCGTCATTGTGATTGTAGGAAGCATCTGATATTGTGAAAAAAAGTACGTTTTTAGCAGGAAATATTACCTGCATTTGGAAGTTGTGTGGTGATATCCAGGTATGGTTTTCGGAGTGTGCTTCCACTGAATTTTTTTTTAATGAAAATACCTGTTGCACATTTTCAAGATTTTTCAAAGTTTCTACATCACCCTTCTTTTTCCTTGTTCTTTTCCTGTCTATCTTATCTTAAGATATACTTTCATCAGAAATGGTCTGTGCATTTCATTGATTACTGCTTAAAGATTTTGGTGCATTTTGATCTACTAGGTGTGTCACTATATGTTTTAAGAACTTAAAAGTTTAAAATTTCTACATGATGGCAGTGGTTTGAAGTATATTCTGTTTTTTCCCCCTCCTTCCCAGCTTACATATGCAAAATGTTTGCCATGGGTGGATGAAGGCCAGAAATTAGGAACCAACGAAGAGGCTTTTAGAACTTCCATCTTTTCCTGGAAAAGGAAGTGCCATTTGACTGCAATAGCTGCTAGTCATTCTTATCAGCGGGCTTTACACTTGGCACCATGGCAGCCTAATATCTACATAGACATTGCAATCTCTGTAGATCTCATTTATTCATTGGAGGAAAGAAGTAGACCTGAGTCAGATGTTTGGTAAGAATTTTGTGCATACTGTTTTCATTAGATCATTTATTTTCCTATATATGGCCATTTACACTGATTACTTGCTTATCAGGCAGCTGCCTGAGAAGATGTCCCTAGGTGGCTTGTTGCTTGAAGGAGACAATGATGACTTCTGGGTGTCTTTAGGATGCTTGTCAGACAACAATGCATTGAAGCAGCATGCTCTTGTCAGAGGATTGCAGTTGGATGTATCTCTTGCTGTTGCATGGGCATACCTGGGAAAAGTAATGCTATAAATAATTATTAGTATAGTTCTCATGAGTGTGTTTTTTGTAGGCGATCAGAGTAACTTTCATGAGGACTTTTTTTTTAGCTTCTAGATTAAAAGTTTTCTTTCATTGGTATTGCTTCTTGGTAAATAGTTTTGAACTCCAATAAATGTTTGACAGGTACTTTTGCAATTTCGTATCTATTAGACTGGGGGTAAATAATTCTGTGAAAATGTTTATCCCCCCTACAAACAATATGGAATGACTAAATGCATGCAGGGAGGTCTTTCTTTTAGTTATGGGGCAAAAAATGTTAAGGTTACCGAATTCACTAATTTTTTTGATAAGATTTAATTTCTACATTAAAAAAAACTAGGTAGTATAATAGAATACATAATTTTTCATAAATTGCAAATTATTTTCATAAACATTACATATGTTTGAGATATATGTATCCTGTTGCCTGAACACTAGAGAATTGGTATTCTTTGCAGCTTTACAGAAAACAGGGTGAGAAGCAGTTAGCTCGCCAAGCATTTGATCATGCTAGAAGCATAGATCCTTCCCTTGCATTACCATGGGCGGGAATGTCAGTGGATACCCATTCTAGGTAAATGCTTGTCTCAATGTTGTAAATGAAATATCTGATTTTGTTCAGATTGTAAATCTTCCCTTAGATTTTTTTTTTTTAATTTCATTTTTAGGGGTTGCACGCCAGAGGAGGCATTTGAAAGCTGCCTACGGGCTGTACAGATATTGCCTGTAAGTTTGCTGTACTTTTTAGTCTTTATTACCTATCACATATTCTCATCTTTCTTCCCTCCCTTTTCCCTGAATATGATATATTTTTGTAAATGTAATTTTCTTCTTATCTGTTTTATGGAAATCTTATTGTCCTAATCAGTTTTCTCTAGGCAGTGTTTTGGGTACATACCAATTTTGGTAAACCAGGGATGTCTCTAGTGAAAAGATGAGTGAACAGCCAGTGAAATCAAAACACACTATTTTGGGGGAGAGTTAAGAGAGTTTACCTCTCTTGCTCCTCTAACTATTTCACTCTCTTCTCATTAATATATTGATTTAATTATTTCTGTTATCGATAAAAAAAATCAAAACACGCTGGTGCATTTTGTCTTTTGATGCATGTATATTTCACTAATGATTAGGAGTGTGCCACCTCTATCAAAAAGGATTATGTCCAAATCAGTCCCTACTTCTGTAGCTTGTAGCTGAAGATTGGTATTGTTTATATGATAGTGCTTTTTGAGTTTGTGCTTGCAGTTTTTAACAGCTCTTCAGAAATAATTAGAACAATAATGCTGGCCTAGAGTTTTGTCTAGGACATTTGAACTATTAAAACAAGAGACTAAGTCTTTCTTTTAATCGATGGTAACAGGAAGTATCACTATATATGTGGAGAAAATGTACCAGGTAAATTAGGTTTCTTTTGCATGTAGACTACTATACAAAAAGCACAAAGGTGCACTGTCAATGCTTCATCATCTCTTAGTCTCTGTCTAGCTGATTCATTATCTTTTTTTTTTTTATCAATAACAAAACTTTCATTAATCAAAAAGAATAATTAATTACAAAGAAGGGGAGATAAACTATCTTAACTCCCCCAACAGAGGCTAGACTCCCCAAAAAGAAAAAAACCAGAATTACAAATGAGCCCAGAATATAGATTCTCTAATCACCCCTTACTTGGCTAACCCATCAGCAAACGAGTTAGCAGATCTCTTCACCCAACTGTACTTTATTTCCATATCCTTAGCCAGCCACTTGAATTTTTTCTTTTCATCGCTATAGCTCCATAACTCAGCATTGTCTTCTTTTAGCCACCCTACTTCCACCTCCGAATCCCCTTCAATTACAAGCCTCCTAATGTTCATTTCATTTGCCCTTTGGACACCTTCCAAGACCGCAAAGACCTCAGCCCTGAGAGAGTCACCTACTCCAATTGGGCCTGAGAACATGGCTGAGACAGTGCCATTCTCATCCCTGAACGCTCTCCCAATGCCAGATTGCCCAGGGTTCCCTCTACTACTGCCATCAAAGTTTAGCTTTTTAAAACCAGTGGGGGGAGGGATCCAAGACAGACTTAGACCTGTTTTGACCTGGGCAAAGCTAGCAATCTCTTCCCACTTTCTCAGCAGATCATCCACAGTAAATTCTATGAATAAATCCAAAGATTTTAACCACTGTACCACCCTTATGTGGATCAGTTCTATTACATTTTCAATGCTCCTACTTTTTCTGAGAAGATTCTTGAGTTCCTTTCTTTCCACACTGACCAACACACAACAAACCTTAGGCATCTCTACATAATCCTACATCTCTTCAAATGCCACCTAAAAAAGGAGGAAAAAGGCCTTGCACATTGAAAGGGGGGTTCCACCTACACCCAAAAAGAGAATATGCCCATTCCCAAATAGTTTTAGCAAAATGGCAAGAAACTAATAGGTGATAACTAGTCTCCCCATCAGCTTTGCAAAGAATACACCTATGTGGGGATAAACAGGTCTTGGGTCTCTTTCTTTAAAGGAGATCACTAGTGTTGATTCTTTCCAGGAAGGTTTCCCAACAAAAACTCCCAACCCTAGTTGGAATTGGCTTACACCAAATCTCTTTAACAGGAAAGATAAGCCTACGGGGCTGGTTGGTTGAGTTAAGATTTTAAAGAAAGAGGCACACGAGAATGAGCCCAAGGGGGAGGGGGTCCAAATTCTAGTGTCTTCCTTTGTGGGGTCCAAGAATGCATTTTCAAGAATACCTAGGAGAGTCAAGGTGCTGTCCAAATCTGTATCTCTAACAACCCTTCTTATCCCAAATTCCATCCAATCCCAGAGCTTGAAGATGAAGGGACAATAAAAGAGGAGATGAGCTCTTTTTTCAGGACTGAGAGAGCATACAAGGATGGAAACTAGTCCTTCAACGGGGAATTCCCCACCCAAGTTTGTTCCCAAAATTTTATGAGGTTGCCTGTTTAAGTCATACCTGATTAGAGGGGAGATAGCTGAGAGACTGGAGAGGAAGGACAAAGGGGAAATGGAGAGGAAGTACAAGCTGGCGGGGAAATGGAGACTAGAGTTGTTCACTGAAGCCAAATCTTTCTTGTTTGAGCAGGGAAGGACAAAGGGGAAGGCTCACTTGAAAATCAAAGAAGGGAGCAGGGCGACGATTCTCCTACCAGAGGAGGCCTGTGTGTGGTTGAAAGGTTTTGTAGATGGAACTGTCAATTCCTTACGGGAAGAAGGTTGGAGACACTCGTTGACCTGTGAGAACAAGAGATTCGAATCTGTGCTAAAAAGGAATGGAAAAGGGTGGTTCATAATGGTTACCGAACTCTTTGGTAATAACAAAAGGCAAGTGTTGTGTATTCCAGAAGGCCTGAAGCGGAGAGGGTGAGCTTCCTTCGCTTTTAATCTTTAGGCTTTTCTCTTGGAGGTTGAAGGGAGAGTGGAAGAAGCCCCTWGCTTGAAGGATTGTCATCTTTCTGTCCTGTGTAATCAGGTGCCCTGCTTTAAGCATTACCCTGAAGTTTTGGTGTCCAGCTCGACTGTCCTCAAACGAGTAGCTTTGGAAGAAGGGAGTGGGAGCTAGGAGAAGAGGGTGGTCCTAGTGGCAGACAGGGTGATAGAAGATTGGACGAAAGTTTTAGAAGTAATTGCAGAGAGGTTGGGATTAGATGAAGATGTAATGCTGTTGCCTTTTGCTGAAAAGAAAGCTTTATTAGATATTGGAGATAAGAAACTGATCTTCAGTACTTTCCTTGTAGAAGGAAGTTTGATTCAGGCCCAAAATTGGGCTCCAGACTGCAACGAAGTTGAATCTAGCGCCGGCAACTTCTTGATTAAACTTCTCGGTCTTCCTTTCAACCTTTGGAATGATCAAATACTGAGGAAAATTGTTAGAGCGTTGGGTGGAGATCTGTTGGAGGTTGACTTAAGAAACTTGAGAGCTGTGGAACTTAAGGTTGYTGGGATCAAGCCGGAGAACTTGCCGCGGGCCTTCGAAGTTCTCTCAGAAGGTGCTTGGTACAAGGTCTGGTTAGCTTCAGAAGATGARGCCTTGCTTTGGGGAAGACGAACAAAGGTTGAAGGAACTGACGGGTTTGCAGGTTGGTGTACACGTGGCCTTCAGGGGCTGGCGGGAAAGCCTGATGTGTGTGGGCGAAATATAGAGGAAGGGGAACAGTCGCAGGGGTGCCCCAAGTCTCGAAGCTTTCCCTTTAAGGCTTCTAATTCAATTTTTTTTTGAAGAGGGGTTGTTTAAAGAGGGTGGCCCGTCCTATGCTGACATGACTAAAATGGTAAAGAGTCGTTTGTGCTCAAGTATGAGGAAGTTCAACCAATTTGTGGGCTCTTTTGAACTCAAAGAACTTCCTCTCCTAAATAATTTCACTTGGTCCAACCTTCAATCAAGGCCAATTTGCTCTAAGTTGGACAGATTTTTGCTCTCCCTAGACTTACTTCAGACCACTGGCCTATAGTGTTGGGCAAGGAGGAAATAAGAGGAGTAGGGCCTACCTCTTTCAAGTTTGAAAATATGTGGTTGACTCATCCGGGTTTCATTGAGAAGATCAGAGAGTGGTGGGAGCAAGCTAATCCGKTAGTTGATTGGGAAGGAATGAGGTTCCACAAGAAACTCCAATACTTAAAATCACAATTAAAGGAGTGGAATAGGTTGGAGTTTGGAAGATTAGAAGAGAGAAAACAAGTTCTGGTGGAGCAAATCGAGGATTTGGACCTGAAGGAGGAGAGAGGCCCCTTTGGAGAGGAAGAAAGGAAGTTGAGATGGGTTTTGAGGAAGCAGATGGAGGACATCTTGGTTAAGGAGGAAATCAGTTGGAGGCAAAAATCCAGGTGTAAGTGGCTAAAGGAGGGAGACAGAAAYACAAGGTTTTTCCATTCAGTGGCAAATGGRAGGAGAAAGAAGAATTTCATCTCTAATTTGGAAGTTGATGGAGCAGTTTTGTCCCACCTGGCTGAAATTGCAGAGGCTCTAGTAAACCACCTCAAATATATTTTTAGAAGGCCTATGAATGAGAGAGTGTGGTTGGAGGGTTTGGATAGGCCGACTCTAAGTGTAGAGAAGAAAGAGTGGTTAGAAAAAAGGTTTGATATGGAGGAGGTAAAGTATTCTCTATGGATAGGACAAAAGCTCCGAGTCCAGATGGGTTCACAATGGCCTTTTACCAGGATTGTTGGGATATTTTGGAGAATGATCTTAGTTCGGTTTTTGAGGAGTTCCACAGGAGGGGTGTAATAAACCCGGGCTTGAACTCAACTTTCATTGCCTTAGTCCCAAAGAAAAAAGATGCTTCTCAACCTAAGGATTTTAGACCTATTAGTATGGTGACTAGCTTGTACAAAATCATTGCAAATGTGCTCTCTCAGGATAAAGAAGGTGCTCCCCTCTATTATTGCACCCAACCAAGGTGCTTTTGTGGCGGGAAGACAGATCACCGATCAGATTCTCATTGCAAATGAGAGCTTGGAGAGCTTTAGGAAGTCAAAGAAGAAGGGAGTGGTTTGCAAATTGGATTTGGAGAAGGCTTTTGACTTGGTTGATTGGTCTTTCTTGATGGAGGTGTTAAGGAGTTTTGGTTTTGGTGACAGGTGATGTAAGTGGATCTGAGGCTGTGTTAGGACTTGCCATTATTCTATCCTGGTGAACGAGATTGTGGTTGACTTCTTTCCTGCGTTGAGAGGTCTAAGATAAGGAGCTCTTCTTTCCCCTTTTCTTTTCACCCTGATTGT